GCCAAGAAGCTGCCACAAAGAAAAGAAGGAAAGGAAGGTATGTCTTGCCTTGAAAGACAGATACACAGTAAATGTGCTACCAGGATGAACACGGAGTGCAAGAACCGGCGGTGTAGTGGTAACACATTGCGTCCGGAAGTGAAGGGGAATGGTTCGATCCCCTCCCAGTGCAGAACAGTTTTTGGAGAAAGGGCTCCGCGTACGAAATTGTATTTGGCAGTGTGGGATAAAATCGCGGAGTTTCGCAACTGCAGTGACGTTACATACTTGATTTTCAGCATTGAAATCGATTCCCTGTTCGAAGGCATCGATTTTTACACCAACATTACGCGTGCTCGCTTCGAAGAACTTAATGCGGATCTGTTCCGTTCCACAATGGACCCGGTTGAGAAGGCACTGCGTGATGCGAAGATGGACAAATCCCAGATGCACGATATTGTTCTGGTTGGCGGTTCAACTCGCATTCCGAAAGTACAGAAGCTGCTGTCGGATTTCTTCTCCGGCAAAGAGCTGAACAAAAGCATCAATCCTGATGAGGTTTGTTTTTTTGTGCTGTGAAAATAAGTTCTGCAGTTTCAAAGTAGAAACTGCAACGACATTTTTCTTCCTTCCCTCCCTTAGCTTCATCTGCTATCATCTCCTTCCTATCCCCCATTTCTGGGACATTTTCTTTTTTTGTTTGTTAATGCATTAGATCCCTTTCGAACTGATTTTGGTGCGCTTATAATTGAAATTTTACGTCCTTTTACTTAAGTTCTGCTAAGTTTATTTGGCAGTTTTTGGCTATGTTTAACATCTTTTCGTGATATTTTTAGCTTTTCCCTGAATTTCAGCGAAATTTTACGCTTTTTGTTTGATTTTTTACATCACTGCTTCTGCAGTTGACTTTTTTTTACCCAGGTGAAGGGGAAACGGTAGCCGTTCGCTGGGATGAATCTTGAAATGAGCGCCTCGTTTATGTCCTTAGACAAATTTTTCAGGTTCTTGTACGTAAAGAAATGAACATTTAGGCTGTAGCTTATGGTGCGGCGGTGCAAGCTGCAATTCTGTCCGGTGATAAATCGGAGGCAGTACAGGATCTGCTTCTCCTGGATGTTGCTCCGCTTTCGTTGGGTATCGAAACTGCGGGTGGCGTGATGACGCCGCTGATCAAGCGCAACACAACTATCCCAACAAAAACATCGCAGACATTCACCACGTATTCTGACAATCAGCCCGGTGTCTTGATTCAGGTAAATAACAGTGCAATTTTTTTTCAGTACTTTTCCAGAGGGTGACGGTAATATTTCTGGCATTTCGTAAAATTTTGAGACTTCTTATGGATTTGCGAGCGCTTTTCTTAAGTAAGTGTTTTTCAGGTTTATGAAGGTGAGCGTGCGATGACGAAGGACAACAACTTGCTTGGCAAATTTGAGCTTTCGGGCATTCCGCCGGCACCTCGCGGTGTACCGCAGATTGAGGTTACATTCGATATCGATGCCAATGGAATCCTGAACGTTACGGCGCAAGATAAGTCCACCGGCAAGCACAATAAGATTACGATCACAAACGACAAAGGCCGACTTTCGAAGGACGAGATCGAACGAATGGTGCAGGAAGCCGAGAAGTACAAGGCAGATGATGAGGCACAGAAAGATCGCGTGGCTGCCAAAAATGCGCTGGAATCGTATGCCTTCAATATGAAGCAGACAATTGATGACGAAAAGGTAAGGGGGTTTTCCGTCCGTGCCAAATTTTCAACAGCTTGTCCACTATTGGATCACTTGGGCCAGCGGGCTTTGAATGCTTTATTACTCAGTGAAGCTAGAATTAATAATTGAACAAAGCGGCATAACACGGAAAAAATGATTCATTAGTCTTTGTGATCTTTAATTCCTTTTCAAAAATTCAGAGTCTAGCTTATTTTGCACTCCTGAACAGGAATTGGGATAAATCTAGCTTATATTGGACTATAAATGAAGCTTATTTTGTTGTATATTCAGTTGAAAGATAAGATCTCGGCGGATGATCGTAAGAAGATCGAAGACAAATGTAGCGAAGTGATCAGATGGCTGGATAGTAATCAGACAGCAGAAAAAGACGAATTTGAACACCAACAGAAGGAGCTGGAATCTGTGTGCAATCCGATCATCACCAAAATGTACCAGAGTGCTGGTGGAATGCCAGGCGGTAAGTGACCAACTGCTTTTTCAACTTAGACCAAAAATTCCACATAAATGGAGTAAAAGCAGAAAAAAGTATAAAAAACGCAGTGTTATGTAGTTTTTTTATTGCAACAAAAAGGTTGCTTGGATGCCATTCAATAATCCGCTTTGTCCGTCTCTTGTCGTACATTAACTTCAGCGAGACATTTATTTCTGGGTTGGTTAAGCTGCTTAGCAGGGATTTGGTTTTTTTTTACGGGTGAGGGTATTTTGCATATTTTGTTGAGGGTATCGCTTTATTTTTCATCTGATGATGACTGATTCACGGCATATTTGTGTTTTTAGGGATGCCAGGTGGCGGATTTCCGGGTGGCGCACCAGGTGGCGCTTCTCAGGGCGGTGGGCCGACCATCGAAGAAGTTGACTGAGCAACCCTGAATCATTTGATCTCTGCTGTTATTTGTTAACTGCAGTGGTTTTTTTTTTTTGTAGTGCGTTACTTTGAAACTGGTTTTTCACTGCTTTCTTGACTGTTGAATTTGTTTTTTCTGGGGAATTATCCAGAAATTAGCCTATGCGCAAATAGGCGTTTTATAAATCGCGGTGATGGGTGGTTCTTATTTCCGTTAAAACAGTGTAAAATTGGATTAAATCAAAAGTATGTGCTTTTTTAACTTAGGAATTTGTTAGCATGTCGAGATGTTAAGGCGGCAGTTGGGTGGAAGAAGTTTGTGTGGAACCACGGTGTCATCCGATGCTGCTCCATATTTATTAAGATTTTGGGGTTTTTTTCGACCACTTTTTTTGCGTGGGAAGTACTAACTATGCGGGGGAAAGAGGAGGGGGAGGAATGAGGGGTCGTGTTGAGCGTGTCCTTTGTTAACATTTTGAGTCATCATTCATTGTGGAATGAATCAGATGTTTGCAATAGTGATCATTATTTTACTGAAAGCAATGTAAGATGGTGCAGTAAACGTCCGCTGTTTGTGTTTTGCAATGCATCTCATTGTGACTTGTTGAGATAATATTAGCTTATTATTAACTGGTGATGAGAGGAGACAAAAGAAAGTTTTGGGGAAGGGGGAGGAGGGAACGAATGGGGTTAAAGGGAAAGAGGAAAAGTCGGAAGTAAAATATTCTGATAAGCCAAGGAAGGGGTCTAACCCGCGGATTTCGTGTAAAAGTCCGGGACTGTAAGAGCTTACGAGGGAATTTCCGGATTTGTAATTTGGGTAGACCAAAGAGGGGGTTTTATCGCAGATTTGCTGTAAAAAGTCCAAGACAGAAGTTGTACGCTGCAAATGATTTTGAGGCGCTCTAACGGGGTATCGAGGAACCCCAGCGTAAATTGCTTCGGTCCTGTCTCACTGGTTCCTTGCGGTCCATGGTATGTTAGTGAATATCGCATTTCTGAGGACTGTTCTGGGAAGTGAACAACGAGGAGTTAGCCTCATTCACAAAACTGAGTTCCTCTTCTCGCGAAATCCATTTGGCCTGTGGTTGCAAAGTGGGCAAATTTTACCAGGACAGCGTGAGCAAAGAAGTCGAGAAGTTTTCTTCTGATTGGCGACAAATCTAATCGCTGAGGTCGACCGTCAAGGTCACTCGACGCACCCGGGTATCCTTTAGTGTCCTTGAAAGGCAACCCCAGGCAATGCCAAAGCGAGGAGAAACAAATTGCTGGATGGAGGCTGCACAAGGAGATCAGCCCAGAAGTATTACAACAGCGGTGATGACCAAGTTTATGTTACATGTTCGAGAACACCAGTTTAACCAACCCTTTACACCTGAATCAGGTTTTTTGCGATATCCAGGATTAATAATTATAATGGGATGGCATTCCGAGAGTTGTACACAAAAATCCGGCAGGCCATTGTCAAGGTCAAGTGACCTGTTCATCTCCGAACAGACACTCAAATTGTGTTCTTTTACACTACTAGCTGTGTCCCACTGCAATTTAAGCTTGTCCTGTACATGACACCCATTGAGATACATCGTAGTAACGTTATGGATTTCTGTGAAGTTCTACAAAAGTTTATCAGTTAAGAAGTATACGACTTAATGGACCAAAACGTCTTATCTCGCTCTCACTTCCATCTTTCACATTGTAATTTGCCGTGACTTCACCATTTAGGCTTTCAAGGCCAACCTGGCTGCTACAATCGGCTTATCGGTATGGGGAGGGGGAGATTCGTTGTTGCTGCGTATGGCAACTACAGGCTATCGTGGAATCGGATCCGGAGGCGTACATGCATTTTTCATAAAATCAAGCAAATCAAGCTTTGGGTTGTAAAAATTAATTTGATAACAGGAGAACGCCGCCAAAAACTGGCTTCTACTCGAGTACATTTACCAAATCATTTAGCAAATCTGATAATTTTTTTAGCAAATTTGGTATTTTTTAATTTATCAAATCTGACAATTTTTTTTTGCGAGCCCAAGTTATCTAATAATCTTAAATTTGCAACTGTAACGCCTGGATGTTTTGCAAAGATTGTCATTTTTGTGTCAACGAAACTCCGAAAAAGTGGAGCTGCGTGAAAAAAAGGAACCCAAAATAGAGAAGAATGAAGAAGTTGCTAGCTACACCACGGCAATTACTGAATAAACTGGTTTAGCTTAAAAAAACGTCAGATTTGATCGGTTTGATCAACCTAGAAGCTAGTTTTTAAAGGTATTTTCATGTAATCAAATTAATTTTTACAACGCCAAGCTTAGTTCTTTTAATTTTATGTACGCATTTACAGCTCTGGATCGGGTTCTGTAGTTGCACGCACCCACCAATACCGATGATTATCCTTTATACCGACAAGCTTTGCGTAGCCGCGAAAGCACACGTTGATCGAAACAAAATTTCCCGAATCGTGTCTTTTTCGTCTTCTTAACACAGGATTCAGTCATGTACCGCATCCACAAAAAGTACCAGTGACACCCAAAGTGTGCAGTTTCAGCACGGAATAAACAGCTCCAAACCAGTCACATGTGAAATTATTGTTTTTTGTGAATAAATTTTAGAAATTTCGAATCCCTTTCTTTCAAATTTTTGATTAATTTTGACTAACCATGGTGCAATAAAAAGCTGTTTTAGTGGCCGGATTATCGTAGGTGAATGTAGCCCTTTTCACGCCATGGAGCTCGGGCGTCTTATTTTAATACAGCATCGAATCTTTTTCAGCACTTGTCATTCTGAGCTTAAAAATTCTGAGCCTTTTGCGTATTTTCATGGCTTAACTTTGAATACTTCCGTAAAATTTGCTGTTTTTGGGCCAATTTTTGTTTTTTCTTTTTTTCTAAATTTTCTATTTCCTATTGAAGCCATGTATTGCTGCCAATGAAACTTCCTAGTAAAGCATTGAGCATTTTTCGTGTTTCTGTATTTTTAGCATTTTTCGTGTAAATTTTCATGTTTTTTCGAGAAATCTTGTACTTTTTGGCTAAATTTTGATTTTTTCCCCTCATAATTGTCGCCTTTTCCGTTAAATTCTGTGCTTTCCCCTTGAAATTTTGAATTTTTGTGTATAAAATTTCAAAAATTTTGCACATTTTTGGCATATTTTTGGTTTTTTTCCAAAAAAATTCCCATATTTTTCAAAAAAAAAAGTACGGCTAGCTTGTTTGCGTGCTTGGCTAATATGTCTTTTTATTAAATTCCTTTAATTTCCCCCGCCTTTTCCTTACCCTCTCCCCCTTCCGTCATGGTCCCTCACGGACGATGAGTTATCGTGTAGGGCCTGCAATGATTATTTTTTGCAGGTCCCTGCTAGTCGCGAAGTTTCGCGAGCCTTCTGGAGGGCAAAAATCACAGTGCAGAAAATGACCAATCACTGGCCACGCCCCTGTCCCCCGCCACTTCCAGAATATTCTCTTTACCGTATCCCCCACCCGTCGCTTCCAGAATATTCCTTGGGGGCGGGGCTACCGCGTTGCGACACGCGTCGCGCACGGCGAACGAACATTCCACGGCGTTCTGGAACATTCTATGCGGAGCAGTATATAAGCGCGCTGCATGCTCCCGTCCCGTCATTCGTCGATCGATTCGCTTGGGGAGGCGGTTGCTTGCTTCGTTCGTCCGTCCGTTCATTCGTTGTTCCTGCTGCGTGGTTTGGTTGTTTTACGTCCCAGTTAAATTGTTGTGCTTGTTGCAGCTCGTTTTTTTGACGTGGTCTACAAACGTGTGAAAAGTGCTAAGGAAGACGTGATGTCGAAGAACGCAATTGGTATCGATTTGGGTACGACGTACTCATGCGTCGGCGTTTTCATGCATGGCAAAGTGGAAATTGTCGCCAACGACCAAGGTTAGCCGTTAATGCGATTCCAATTTCCACGATTAATTCTCACGATTCCGATTATCACGATTATTATTACTGCGAGCGCGATAATGACACAATTCAATTAAAAGTAATAATTACTGCACGCCAATTGCTAACAAAGATTACAGTAATAATTTTCGCAAATGCCATGGTGGGTCAGCTATCATCGCAATAACTATTATTGTCAGTGGCAAAAATGAATGGGGCATAAAATCGGCATAATTGAGTCACAAAAGAAAATTTCAACGAAATATGTTGTTATCAGTAAATTATGAACAGATGTCTCAGATAAAAAAAAAAAAGTTGTAACAGTTGCATGAGGGGGGAGGGAAGAAGGGAGCGAGGGGGAGCGCAGGACCAGCATAACTATATGAATTTTAATGAACATAGGGGCAGTCTATGTTTTATCATCCTTCGGCTATAAGAAGTGGTAGTGAAGCAAATACGGCAAGAGGTGAGAATCATCAGTACAACCTTTTAATTGTGATATTTTTTATGGACAAATGGTGGCGACGGTAAAAGGAACGTTGTGTTGTACAAAAGCTCTGTGGTTGTTTTTACAGAAAAACAGTTGTTGTGAAGGGTTTTATGATGACGCTGGAGG